CCAGATAATCGAACCACTTTTCAGTTGAAAGGTCACGGAGATGAACTATAAATGTACTGTCTGGTGATGAGGCAGTAACAAACCATTCACAATACTGTAAAATCAATTAAATCACAGATAATACATTGTACACAAAAGACAATAATAATAAACTTTGTGCATTCAAAATTCACGTCAACTTCTTCTCAATAGAACTACTACATGTACTCCATAAAAGAAATTAATGATACTGACTCCACATTTCATTTTATTTATAAAAAAAAAATATTATAACTCATAGGTCACATTAACACGATCAAATATATATGTTTCTATCAATAATCAGAGATAGTGTTGAACGTTGCCAATACCTCATTATTGCCATATTTATCTGGATATTCAGGTGATGTGATCCGCAAGTAAGTTCCATTCTTTGTCACAAAGTCTCCTCCGCATGGTTTTTCTGGTTCCTGTGTGGGGGCTGGTGGTTTGATAACTGAAATAATTAAATAGACGAACTTGAACTTGTGGCAAATAACAGAGATCTTTACAGTTAAGTACACCACCTTCACCCAATCACACCCACCATAAGCGCATTGGTTTTTTGATTTTCTCGGAAATATTACTATAAATAGCACACAATCAATATCTATCTAATAATGCTTAGTTCTCAATTGGTGGGCCTAATAAGACAACAACTTAGAAGTCATCTGAAGAATCATAGATTTAAGATTAACCACAATCTCAAAGGTTATACAGCTCCAATTCAATACAACTAGACGAATCACATCATAACAAATCAAATACAAGGTTTAAATCGAAGCCAGAACCAAATAGAGTATTTGAATGTCAAGAAAATATCTGCTGGAACTGGAATACATGTATTGCCTTTTTTGATGTTATCTTTTTTTCCTTTCGAAAACTGCCATCATATTGGAGTTGAAAGTTAACATACATCAGCTCTTTTACCTCATACAGAGTAACTAACCCCTTGTTATACTGTAGCCTGATAAAGAGTAGCCAAAATATTGCAACTACTGCATTTTGATTCATTCAAACTGGATATCTAACACTCTATCATGTTTACTGCAGTACAAGCTGTTTTTTACTCAGGATCACTTTGTTTGTCCTGTTTGAAATATTAAAATAATTGTTTCATTTTAATATACCTTCATGAGTGAGAACAGGATCACCAGCCACATAGTCAAGTGTTCCCCGGTGAGTCACCGCAGCAACATAAATTGAATACCATGTTGATGATTCCAGACCATCAAGAACCTCAGACTCTGTTAGAGCGCCCTCTATGACTTCAATATGAACACCACCCAAGTAATCTTCTCGGTGGTACTTCACTTTGTATCCAATTACATCGCAGTAATAATCATTGATATCCCATGATACTTCTATACTATATGGAGACAATGCTGAACCATATACTGCCTGGACATTTTGGTCTTCAAATGCTGGTAAAAAGGAAGAAATATAAAAATAAAATAGTGCAATACAGTAATAGCTTATTAGTAAAGATTGTGGGGATAAGAATAAGTAAGTACATAACATTAACATTTATAATTTGTTTCTTTATTTTAGTATTTTAAATATAAAAATTTCCATTGAAGATTTGTTATGAAATGGTAAGACTTTCACACCTATCTATGTGTGTTACAAATATGTGAAAAATTATACACCTTCTCGGCAGTTATGGGTAAAAAGAATCAAAAGAAAGATTTTTCCTAAAAGGTTATGGGTTGATAGAATCAAATCAACATTGTTCCTTGAAGGTTATGGGTTGATAGAATCAAATCAACATTTTTCCTAAAAGGTTATGGGTTGATAGAATCAAATCAACATTGTTCCTGGAAGGTTATGGGTTGATAGAATCAAATCAACATTGTTCCTGGAAGGTTATGGGTTGATAGAATCAAATCAACATTGTTCCTTGAAGGTTGTGGGTTGATAGAATCAAATCAACATGATTGTTCCTTGAAGGTTATGGGTTGATAGGATCAAATCAACATTGTTCCTTGAAGGTTATGGGTTGATAGAATCAAATCAACATTGTTCCTGGAAGGTTAAGCGTTGATAGAATCAAATCAACATTTTTCCTAAAAGGTTATGGGTTGATAGAATCAAATCAACATTGTTCCTGGAAGGTTATGGGTTGATAGAATCAAATCAACATTGTTCCTTGAAGGTTATGGGTTGATAGAATCAAATCAACATTGTTCCTTGAAGGTTATGGGTTGATAGAATCAAATCAACATTGTTCCTTGAAGGTTATGGGTTGATAGAATCAAATCAACATTGTTCCTGGAAGGTTATGGGTTGATAGAATCAAATCAACATTGTTCCTTGAAGGTTATGGGTTGATAGAATCAAATCAACATTGCTCCTTGAAGGTTATGGGTTGATAGAATCAAATCAACATTGTTCCTGGAAGGTTAAGCGTTGATAGAATCAAAGGAACACCATTCTAGAATTGATCGACACTACAATATCAGTTATACAAAAATAACTTACGTTTGTACGTAATCTCACAAACATATGGATAACGTCTTGAGCATCGCTGATCTATCCAGTTACCATCAGTGTTGACAGCTGCACAGTTTTGATTGGTTTCACCATCTGGTTCATTATCTGCCCAGTTATTTTCTTGCCAATCAGTGCTCTCTGAGCAGTCCACCCACACCCAATTCCCTTCTATAGCCTTGTCATAGTAACCTGTATATTAACAGATACACAATAAAAAAAAATTCATCATGTGTATGTTTAAATTTTTATAATGAAGAATACTGTGTGATGACTGTTTGTCAGCTGTTCTGGTTTGAACAGCTGTGTTTATTTTATTATTAATATGGGTCAATAACATTAATATTTAAATCTCCAGATCGTTGTTGAAAATTTATAACTGAACAATTCTCGCTTTGGATAAAACTTTTGGCAAATTTGGAGAATTTTTTTTTTCTAATGCCAAATTAGTGCACATACTTTGCTATTTCGATGAAAATTAAAAAGATGCTTTCAGCCAATATAAATGATAATAACGATATTATATATAGTCTCTCTGTTAAAGCAATGGTCGATTATTTCAAGAATCAATGTTACCTATCCAAGTAGTAGCCATATTTCTTTTTACCAATTCTCGCATGACATAATCTAATTCATCTTCACTATCAGTAATCACTAAATCTCCATCTTCAGTTGATTCACAATCTTGTCTTGCTTCATCCCAATCTTCAGGATCTTCAACAAACTTGTAACATCCATGGTTGTATCCTGGTTCATATCCTTCTGGACCTAAGTAAATGCAACAAACATGAAATATCATCAGTCAGTGGTTGCTTGATGTCATATCATCATTTAAGTCTTTAAGCAGCCCTTTCAAGGCACATACACTTTCAAAGGCATTGTGATTTTCGCCTACTTCATTTTATATAACAGGTTTATATTTTACTTACAATCAGATGAGGTGTATCTGATATCAAATCCACGTTTTGACTTATCCCAGTCAGTTTGGAATCTCAACCACAATGCATTGCTGTCACTGCGATACTCCTCACCATCATGACGATCAGTGAATTCCTGAAATGTTGATATACATGTATAGCAGACATATTATTATTAGGCAAGCAATACATACAATACATTCCTGAGATTCCAAGTGATACATTTCTTATAGAGATTAAATCTGGCCTTTCACATAATGATTAAAATTGATCATTCAAACTAATACCAGATTTGCTTTGTTGATAAAAAGTGATTGCCTTCCTCAACAAACTTTGATGTACTATGTCTTCCTTAACACACACAAATAACTTACAACATAGTCCTGTGAATCAGCATCTAATCCTTCACCGATCAGTAATTTATCATATTTCTTTTCAACATAAAAATCAACAAAGAAGAGATGAATCTTGCTATCAGCTGGTAAACTGATATACCAGATACAGTCCAGATTATGAGGATAGTCATCTGGATAGTTAGGAGACAGGATAATTCCTGATGGGTCAGTCAAAGTGGTTTCAACACATGCATCTAAAATAGAAAGTTGCGAGATTATTTTATAAGAGGTAAAGGAAACTAGGAGTTTTTCATTATTTTCAGGCCTTGAGTGGAAACCAAACGAGGAAACAAGAATGTTACCATGACAACAACAGTCTTAACATTGCATCCTTCATTTGCATATTTTGCATATAAATTGCTGTTTATCTCAAGCAAACAGTTATTACAAGTATGATTTACCATCAAATAGTTGCATGTGGAATCCATCATCAGTCTTATCATGATCACTCATAAATGTTAACCATACTATACTAGACGGTGTATAGAATTCATGTGGTGTCTTCTTGTTACCAGATTCATGTAATATACGTGTAGACAGATTCATTGAATTACTCTCTGTTCCCATGTCAACCCAATCATAGTTCCTCTCTGTAAAGTACAAAGTAGACATTTGTTATGTAGACATAAATGGCAACAAAAAATCCTGTTACACTTCTTTCTCCAATGAAAACAAGTCACTTTCATGTTCGTATTATGAGCGTGAGATATCACATTAAAATAACTACAAAGGCAATATTTATAATATCAAGTGACATGAGATATGGCTTCGTGGAGCTGCATTTGTTTAAAGAAAGTGACCACCAGTCTGCCATTTTGAATTTGATGATGACAAGAATGAATGTGCATTTGGCCAAAACTTAATAGACCCATCAATGTTGAATTGCATAATGACTAACAAATAGTTTGATAGCATACAATATGAAAGATTAAATGTCTATTAAAGGTCTATAGTATATGGTCTATGGCCAGAAGTGTATATCTTGAAAAATAAATTGATGAAAAACCAAACACATTTTAAACAATAAAGATGGTATTTCACTCAAAAATGTTCAATCATACCATGTACTTGTCAAATAGTTGACTCAACAGTACATTAACTAAATATGCAAATACTTGTACTTTATGATGAAAGTTTGACAAAGTTGATCCCCACAATTGGCTCTCAATATTCACATCTAAACAACAATCCTTTCAAATTTTGAAAACAAACAAAAATAAAGATATTTCATTATATACACTATTCACTCAACAAACCAAATCATTTTTCAAAGCGCTACATAATAAGATGCCAGACCTACCTGTTTTAAAATGATCCACATACACCCTAATATTTCCAAGTGACTCAGTAGATACTATCCATTCACAGAATACACTGTCTTCATAATTCTCTGGGTAGTTTGGTGATGTAATGATAGTACTACCACCAGTTGGTATGACAACACTTTGATTAACACACTCTGAAAAAAGAGAACATATTAATACATTTTAAGTCTGATCCTGTTCCACAGATGCTCTATAATGCTCAATTCACTGGAAGACTTGTGTATTCTTACCGTTTTCTTCACTCAGGTTAATCTTAAATCCACGATATGTCTTCCTGTGATCAGTAACAAATCTCATCCACATTTTATCTGTTGCTGTCACATGACTTTGTTCTTTCTCATTGCCAGTTAGAGTTTCAAATCTGGAGGTTTCCTTGTCCATATCATAACCATCACCCAAATCAAGGTAATCATGTCTGTAATTAGAAAACAATCAGTGATATATGAAAAGAGAAATCATCACAACAGTTGATATAAACAGTGTGGGCAGGATGAAATTTTGTTTGAAGCAATATGTGAAACAATTATCTATATAATAACGATGACTACAGCAGTACATTGCAAGACAACTATAATCCAGCATGTTTAATGATGCATTGTTGAAAAAAGTTGACTAAAGGAAAATATTTTTAATAATACACACCTTTTTTCTGTCTTGAAATCCTCCACATGCACTCTGATTCTTTTGCCTGGACTAGCACTAACAGTCCATTCACACAGTAAATTATCATCATAGTCCTCAGGATAGTTTGGTGATATCACAGTCTCAACTCCATCAGATGGCACACTGATAAAACCACCACAGTATGGTGTTGGTGATACTGTAGTAGCTTTAATTGTTGTTCCCGATATTGTAGTTCCTTCACTTGTTATGGTGATACAGTCATTGTTGTGCCAATGGAAGTTGTAGAGATTGCAGGAGGTAGTGTGGTTACTACTGGTGGTTTAGGTTCACTGGTATCAGCTGGAAAAACACAATGGCAGATTAGTATATCATTTATTCTTTCCCAGAGAGTTCTAATTAGATATTAAATAATTTACAAAATACATAGTATCTGGTTTGTATGTTTATAAGATTATCACAAAGATATTACAGCAAGAGTTCTACATAGTGGCGGCCGATGCAACCACGCATTGCCCGGGTGAATATTCTACAATGTTCTCTTAATAAGCCTAATATCATATACTTTCTCAATAAAATCACTTGGTAAAAAGCCCAGAGCTATGGAAAATGGTTAACTTTCTCAGTATGAACTTTATTTTCAAACAGATCCACCATCATAGAAATACCGGTACCATGTAATCATTCCATATTTGGAATGCCTATTTTCTAATAAGGTAGGATGCAGATATCAAAGTGCAGTACTGCAAAATTACGACACCTCTACAACTTATAGTGACAGATGTGTCAAATAAAAAATGCCAATCAAACACCATCAGAATCCACAAGCAACTTTACAATTTTGGAAAAACAAAGAAAACAGCAACAAGCAGCATTTTGGCCGAGATAGCTCCGCTGTTAGCAATGCATATTTCAATTAAATTATATGTTTAGTATCAAAGCAATCAGACTTGCTGTTTTCAACAAGAATTCAAAAATATAACTTTTACCAAAAATGACAAAAAATATTCATTAAAATTAGATAATTGAAGTCATCATCATGAAATGAACAAATCTGAGAGAGGTCCACATGTAGTTCTCAAATATGTAATATCAAAGCAATCGGACTTATGGTTTTTAACAAGAAGTCGAAAATACCACTTTTTACCAAAAATTACAAAAATATTAACCAAAATTAGAGAATTGAAAATATCATCATAAAATGAACAAATCTAAAAAGTCGAAAAAATAAAACATTGACACGGACGACGGACGCCGGACGACGACAGACAATCACTCATATGATAAGCTCTGCTCGACAAAGTCAACAGCGGAGCCAACAAAATAGTACAACACAACCAATTTAGGAAGACACATGAACCCCTATAGAGATAAACCATGAGAAAAGTGAGCATATCCTGCCACGCTGAAGCCACTGCCATACACCTCCCCTGCAATATACATCTAAGAAGCTCTTGTTAATTATTAAACAACTTGAGAATTGAATCAACCAGCTATATAAATACATAAACTTGTAAATAAATAAATAAATAAATAAATAAATAAATAAATAAATAAATAAATAAATAAATAAATAAATAAATAAATAAATAAATAAATAAATAAATAAATAAATAAATAAATAAATAAATAAATAAATAAATAAAATAAATACAGCATGTGATGATGAAAGGACACCCATAACCCAAAAATAAAAGTAAAATCTGAAATACTCACTACTATAGTCTTCAATTTTATTTTAATATGTGATACATTCATTATATCTAATAAACTCAGAAAACATGCAAGAAAGTTTTCTCAAACGCTAATAATTCTTACTTACTGTCATTTCTTTCCTCTATGTATATAAGGAAGCCACGAAATATGACAGAATCATCAGTGGTAAAAGTTATCCACAATGCCTCTTCAGCTGATAGCCATGATACTGGTCTTATAAAACCTGAATGATGTCTTTCTCTCGTTGATAAATCACTTTCATCAAGTCCATTACCAACATCAACCCAATCGTGTCCTGGTTCTGTCACAAAGTCCCGGAAACGAACTGACATTCTGGTCCCCGGTGAAGAGGTGACATTCCACACACATCGTTCATTGTTGTTATATTGAGATGGGTAATTTGGTGATTGGATTACAAGTTTAGAGTCAGGTTTTGTCTCAAAAGCTCCCCCACATGGTTTAGCAATCAGCAGTTCTAAGGAAAACAATAGACAAAGGGATATCACATTTGTACCACATGCTATGATGCAAATTGTTCACAGTCAAAAACAATCAACATGCAAGTCTCAGTTATAATCAGCATGGCAAATATTAGTCACAAAACTTATTTAAAACGGTTGGAGTAATATGAATCCCCAGGCAACCAAAGGGTGTTGACAGGTATTTTAAAAGAATGAATTTGTCCTGCTTCTGTCTTTATCAGGAAGTCATGCTCATGATACACTCATTATACCATTGTACTTGAATGTCACATTATTAAGCACAATGTCATACCTAAAACTATTATGAAACTAATAGTATATAGAGTATATAGTGATTTAACCCACGCATACCACACACTACCACACAAATATGCACTTGTACTAGACTAACAATTCTATATACCGGTAGTACTGTTCCAATATGTCACATCATTCTCAACAAAACGTTCGGTTTAGATTATTATTTTGTATATTTCGCAATCATGCCAAGTACAGACAGGTACATGTACATGTATGTAGTCAATATACATTGCACCCAGATATTCTCACTTACCTTCTTCATATTCCTCATATGTCAAATAGAAACCATCCCCATCGCCAGACAGGTCTGATGTAAAGTGAACCCATGCATGGTAAGTATCAAGCACCTCATCTTTTGGTAGCTCGTCACCAGTCAATTCCTAAAATATTACACAATTAATATCCACATAATTATTAGACTTGTTATACACTCTCCCATCAGTCCACTCATCATAAGTGTGCAACTCTTACTGATAGACATTCTGCTCATGTTCTACTGCATAATTACTAAATTACTACATAATGATGATGATGCTGATGATTATGATGATGATGATGATGATGATGATGATGATTCAAAAATCTGATAACAAAGATGTGATAGATAGATCTGATGATGATGATCTAAGGAAGAAGGATGTGATGAGAGAATGACGAACTGACAAGGAGGAGGATTGATAATCTGATGAAGATCTGATGATGATAACGATAATGATAAATGTCTACCCACATTTTTACTCTTTCATATTTAGACTGAACAAAATTACTAGCGCTTACCACAAGTGGTAAATTTGAGTCTGATATCTCATCTCCCAGATAAAGGTAGTCATAATTGTTCTCTAGGTCGAACACATGGAATGAAAACTTGATAAGTTTATCTGAGTCGACTAAGATGTCCCAACGACAGTTACTTCCATGTGGATATCTGTTAGGGTACCCTGGAGAAGTGATGTTACCAGACGGTCCAAATAGACTTCCACCACAGGGGAAAACTGAAACAAAATGAAATCTATTATTTACCATATTGTTCAAACCTGTCCCATCATTTTGGTGCTACATTTTATTATTTTTTAGTTCATTTTGGACTAAATGGATGAACATTTCCATTGCCTACAAGTTTTCATCAACATTATAGCAAAAAAATGAACACAATTATTTCAGGTTTATTTTGTGAAAAGTGGCAAAATTTGATATGTAATATATAACAGCAGTATGATATAATTAATGTAAGTAAATCTGCCATCGAATCAAACAACCCCATAGAAGTTCATTCAGTTTAGAAGTTCATTTGCTTATAATATGAGAAGGAATCCATAGTAACAATATAACGACAGATACATGTACACATGTATACATGTTTTAGAGTCGCATCTACAATAATATAGAAGCTCATATAGACAAACATGACATTTATTGTATACTGGGTCATTGAAATATGATTCACTTTGGCTACAGATACACCTTTGTCATTTACATGTGCTTCTAAAAGAGCAAGTATTGCCAAGTATTTCTATAACAAACCTACACTTAATGTAATTGTGCATACCTATAAAGAAGGTGACATTGAATCCTTGCTTGGTGAAACTCCTATCACTGGTCCATAACGCCCATACTTCATCATGGTTAGTGACATACGAACCAGACACATCTGAGCCAGAGAATCTGAACAGCAAAGAGTCAAAATCACTGTCATCATGGCCAGATCCAATTTCCAGCCAGTCAAAGTTCAGTTCAGTATCGAATGAGTTGATTCTGACATACATATGGTATATGCCAGTGAAGGTCTTAACAGGCTGGACCACTGAGATGGTCCATTTGCAGTAGTCATTGTTGTTGTAATGGTCTGGATAGTTTGGTGATGTGATATCTACTGATGCTCCCACCACAGCTGGGATTGTTAGATCACCACCACAAATGACATCACCTGTAAACAAAAGCATCATATCGTCATTCATATCTTAAACTTCATGGAGGCAATTGGCCCAAATTACCAAGGAGATTAATCGTTTTTGTCCTGATTTGTTTCAAAAAAATACAAATTTTCCCTATACAATTCTTATACACTAACTAAAGGCAATTTTATCAATCAAATCATGGAGATTATGGATGGACATTGCTAACACTCTACTGACAGACATTTCATGTTTCAAAGTCAATATTCCATGTCGCAGGCAAATTCGAATGAAATAGTTATTGAAATACAAACCTCAGTTAGATGTTATGACCGTAATACACAAGAGAATGCTATTGCCATGCTAGTCTCTATAATTATACATAATGAAGCAATGAACATTGTCTTTGTCAAAAAATATGAGTAGGCTTACAGCTTATAGGGAAATCATGGAGTCAAGTTTGAATAAGATCTCACTTGCTCAAAATTAGTAGTATATTTAAATTGTTTAGGAAAATTTAGGAAATTTTCAATATATAACTTCATTACTGACAATTTAATGTGCAAAGAAATGGACCATATACTATTTGGAGCTGCAAAACTAGTTCGACAGTATACTTACTTTCTATATATTCTGTTAACAGCAAGTGAAACCCTCGGAATGTAATGGCATAATCAGTTTTAAACGTGATCCATATTTCATCCACTGTTGATATGTGATCATCTGGTGCATCATCACCAGACACTCTCAAAGTACTAGTCGTCAAATCCTTATAATCATGTGTGTTACCTATTTCAAGCCAGTCATGGCAGTATTCAGTCTCAAAGTCAATGAATGTGACATTCACTCTGTGTTTGCTTTCAGTGTTTATCAACCACAGACAGTTGAGATTGTCTTCGTAGTTCTCGGGATAATGCAACAAGGTGAGGTTTATGGATCCTCCAAGTGCAATAGTGATATTCCCACCGCATTCCTCAGGTGGTTCCGGATCCTCTGGCTCAGGGTCAACTGGTATTGGTTTCTGAGTTGGTGGAACTTCTAGAAACATATACACAATTACAAGCTTATACTTATATATAATACAATTTTGGATTTTGTTTTAAAGGATACATTTAACATATAAAACATCCTTCAAACATTAAATGTATTTTTCATACTTGAGATGAATAAATTTTATTTGGAATATATCATTGGTCAATATTTTCAATGGCCAAATTGTTGGCCAATTTATTGGTGAATACAAAAAATATTGACCAAATAATATGCATTGTATGGGACACTGTACTCACCAGTAAGAATCTCTTCAATGTCCACCATAAACCCTCTATATGTTGTCCAAAAGTCAGAATAGAAATTGAACCAGAGTTTATCAGTGGATGAGGACCAGAAAAACCATGGACGAATTCTACCAGACATGTGATGAACGCGAGTGGACGCATCATTGAGGTCATGACCTTCACCAATGTCAAGATAATCAAACCACTTTTCAGTTGAAAGGTCACGAAGATGAACTATAAATGTACTGTCTGGTGATGAGGCAGTAACAAGCCATTCACAATTCTGGTACAAAAAATGAAGAGATGCATTGAGAATAACAATTGGTAAATATTACATAGAATTGCCGATATACAGACCATGATTGGATTGAACTACAACTCTTCAAATAACATGAAGACTATTTAAAAAAATCGCATTACACATGCTTTAAATAATAAACTGATAATAGTACTTTGTGGTAGCATTTTGATTTCCATTTTTTTGAAAATGAACAAGGTGCTAGAATGTTTCAGTGTTACACCCAGAGTGCTACTGTAAAAGTTCTCCACAGATAGCTAATTGTGTATGATATACTGTTTTCTGATAGGGAAATTATAGAAACTGATAAGCCAGTAAATTCACAAAATAGTCCTGTTTTGCACTTTCTTTCAGAAGATTGGCACAATAACAGCCAAATGTGTTGACTACAAAACTAAAAATAGACTCAAATTTTAAGTTTAAATTTAAAGTTAGCTCCAAACTTAGGGTTAATTTCCAGAAATATTGAAGAATATGAGAAAAAAAGGGCAGAAAAATTTGGACAAGAAAGTCCGGTGGTGAAAGAACAACTTTTACTGAACATCAATGCATTTTTCTGGAGGCTGCTGTAAGCAAAAAAAAAACATTTTTTTTTACAGTTCTGGCACTTTCCGTATTATTACCTCATTATTATCATAGTCATCTGGGTAGCCTGGTGACGTGATCCGTAATATTGTGCCATTTTTAGTTGTATAGTTACCCTCACATTTCTCTGGCTCCACAGGTGGGGCTGGTGGCTTGAAAACTGAACAAAAATAGATCAAAATAAATAGATCATACCGGAAAAACACTAAAACAATGGTTTTAATACTTCGTTATTGTTTCTTAATTTAAATACTAAATAAATGTTAATTTTCAAAACTTTACTATCCTGGTCTTACTTTTCAAACTTGAATAGTTCCCAAAAGACGAGACATTTTTTGCAAAAACTGGCGAATTTTTCACCATAATATTTAGCTGATAATAACAATGTTTAAAAAAACAAATAAATGCCATACACATAAATCTAATTAATATTACAGTTTAAGAGAATTCATAGGAGTGCAAACTCATTCAAAATAAACAAGTACAGTTGCCATGGCAACATCACGTACCTTGATGCGTCCATGCTTCAGCTGGACCAACATAATCTAAACGTCCTTTTGTGGTCACTGCAGCAACGTAGGATAGGTACAAGGTGGAACTTTCTAAATCTGTGAGAATCATCTCACTTGCATCACCACCATCAACATACAAATATGTATAGCCACCCAGCCAATCAGATCGCCTGTATCTAACCCTGTAGCCAATCACATCACAGTTGTAGTCAGATATTGTCCAGGTAACATGAATATTGTATGGAGAAAGACCAACAGCATCAACAGCCTGTACATTTATGTCATCAGGATATTCGAATTCTGCACGAAAAAAAAAACAGTTTTAAAAATATTTATGCAACAGAATGTAATATATATCAATCAAAGCTAAAAGTTATTAATCTGAATATTAGTAACCATGACAACTGTAAGTACTTCACAGCGAGTAATACCTGTAATAAAACTGAGAATGTCAAATAATACATATATTTCTAAAGTGGATTGCTTTTCAGCTGACAAATTCGCAACAAAATGTGAAAGATTGCAATAGATGATAATTCAATAAGAGGTGACTGTACCCTTTCTGTTGATTTCACAAACATAGTAGTGTAGTGTTCTACAATTCCTATCTTGCCAATGGAGATCATCTACCAAGGCACAGTCTTCATACGTTCCATTTGAAGGTTCTCCCTCTGCCCAGTTAGAAAGATCCCATTCAGAGGAATCTCTACAGTCTATCCATTTCCATCGACCCTCAACAGATATGTCAGAATATCCTGCAATAAAGTTGGGGATTGAATTGAATCAGAGAAAAACGTTTATCCTTAATACATTCAACAGCATTATCTTGCATCGCCGTCCATTAAAATACATGTCATTTTAGTAATTTCCATAAAAATCTAGAACTATATATTGCACCTGTTTAGTTAAAATATAACAATTAAATTAAATTAACATGAGGGAAAGAAAATTCATGCTGATTATAGTACAATGTAACACAACAATTCATCCTGGCATAGCAGATACTAACCTATCCAATAGCTGTCTACACCCTTGTCACTCATCTGGTTGCTCACATACTCAAGTTCAATGTCATCATCAATAATCACCAAGTCACCATGCATAGTAGACAAACATTCATCTCTGGCATCGTCCCATGGTGATGGTGAAAGTACAAACTTATAACATCTGTAGCGATCACCAACAAAATGAGCTTCATATCCTTCAGGACCTGGGAGAAAAATAGAATCACAATAAAATATGAACAACATAAAAATGAAGAGCAAAAAACGAAAAATATGAACATCATTTTCAATGAATATATAGTTAACAGTTTCCTTGTCACAAAAACTATTTCTGTTAATAAAGCAGGATTTCAACTTCATCGAAGGTCATTGCCTTAATGCCCAATGTGCTGGCCATGGCGATTTCTGATACTCTATTTATTGTGTTGAAGGTTAGAACCATTTTTTCAAATGTGAGTCAGCTACTCTATGAGAAGAGTATAACATGTCTACTTACAAACAAACATTTGATATGTAAGATGGAATCCTGTTCGTGTTTGGCTCCAATCTGTCTGAAATCTCAACCATACTTGATGAGAGGTACTGATATAATTATCTGGTATGTCATTGCCAGAATATTCCTACATATATAAATAAGTAAAGTGTTATTGGAAAATAAAGTATATTATTGTTAACTCAGCTAGAACTTCATCACAAAGTTACATGCATGTTTTAATCACACGAACCATTGTGCAAACGAAGGTACCACATGAAATGGGTAACATCAGTGAAGATAATAAAAATGCAAAACAATGGAAATCAATTTTAATACCATATACTCATCAGAGTCAGGGTCTGTTCCTTCACCAATCAACAGCCAATCATATCTCCTCTCAATGTCCATATCCAGAAATTCAATCAGGATTTGCTGACCTTCTTGTAATGTTATTTGCCAGATACAGTCAGCATTGTGTGGGTAGTCAGA